TCCACTTCGATTTAGGTAAGTCCCTACCTAAATGAAATGGATGTGGTGTACCTCCTTTGGTAGGGTGCTAGGCATGCTCTGGTAAAAGTATAGAGTGCACTTGCTGTACTTAGTTTGGGTGCTTCTGGGCCCAGCCTTTGACACTTGTGTCATTCTCTAGCCCTCTTCCTTCCAGCACTACTTCTCTTTTTTTTTCAGTTACTATTGAGGAGAAGGAAAGCTTGAACAAAATACTTCAGCTGCATCTATGTTCTTATTAACATACCCTGGGTATCCACATCATTCTTACCCTTGCACCCCTTTTTGTAGGAGCTTCTGAGGAATCTGAGGTCTGAGGAATGTATAGAAGACACCTAATGATGCCATCTTATTCTGCTTTGGAACTGTCCAACTTCTGGGAAGCAGGGGGCTGCGAACCCCCAGGTGGTATGGCCTGCCTACTGTGGGCATGGCCTCCTGGGGTCCCCTGTGCTGCAACTCCTTCCTGGTCCCCCTCCTACTATCCAACTAGTGGCTAGGCAGGAGCCTGCGGGCTGTCTGTTAACCTTTTGTGGGCTGCCAGTTGAATAGCCCTAGGCAGTTCCAGTTAATACTTATCTTCTACCCAAGGATGCAGTAGACTGTTCCAGGTCTTCTTGTGACAGCTGGGTGGTTTAGGTGGCTATGCCAAGGTCTAAATAAATATTTTGTCAAATATTAGTTGATATAAAGTAGTAATAATATATATATGACTGGCTGTCGTATGATCTTTCAACAGTATATCTATTTTTTTCTCTCTTAGTTAAAAATTGTCCTCTTCATTAGATTCTGGAGGCTTTTTAATGATATATCTATTTTCAGCTATTAAAAAAAAATATTAGGCCCTCTGAATGAGCTGGCTTTGGTTATTGGAATCGGTAGAGTGGTGCTACCATGTTCTGTCTGGGCTAAATACCCTGCTTCTCAGAAGGGCTGTCTTAGCCCAGGAAGAGGGCTCCATTAATATTTCTTGCATCTAAGCTAGCTTGTTCAGTTCTAACTTAGGTTTCTTGGCACAGCACAGCATTATGCTGTATAACCATACTCTTATACCTATGTGAAAATCAAGTACAGAAAAAGAATTCAAAACACAATTTCAGAACTTCTAAGTTGTGCCATTTGTCTTAATAAGAATTTCTTTTTTCAGGCAGCAATCCAATCACAATTAGATGGGGTACGAACTGGTTTAAGCCAACTGCACAATGCACTGAGTGATGTAAAGGACATTCAGCGATCTTTAGTAGATGTCAATAAAGACTGGCGTCAGAGCATCAACACCATAGAAAACCTGAAAGGCGTTAAGGATGCTGTAGTTCAACATAGCCAACTGGCAGCTGCTGTAGAAAATCTGAAAAGCATTTTTTCAGGTAATCTTAATTTATATGTTTTGGTATACGAATTTTAGTGATTGCAAGTTGGAAGAAAATATGTTAAAATGTCATTAAAAATATCGCATCAAAAAGCAACATGTTGAATTTGTCTCCACTTCCTTAATTGATCATTTGACCTGTTAAGCCAAATTTGCTTTTTACTGTATTATCTATAGACTCAATATCTTCCTTGTGCTTGTTTGAGTCTCACAGCTGAATTTAAAATTACTATTCATAAGGTACAAGAGAAATAACACCTACTGACAAAGTGCAGCATGTGTGTGGGCACAATGTAGCTTTTGTGCAATTGTATGGATATTTAAAAACTAAAGGAAAGTTGTCTTCCATTGATTTTAAGATTCTGTAACTCAGCAGTTTTAGCCTTTAATTAAAATAAAACATTGTAATTAAGAAAGGAGTAAGAACACTAAACAAAAATGTTGAGAATTACTGCTCATTTTTAACATCTCCCTGAACCATAGCTGAAGAGAAATCATACTAGTAAAAAGAATTGTTTAACTTACTGTACAGTCTTTCTCTTGGTACAGTTATGGTTTCTGTAACCATTTTTATATCCTTTTTATATTGTGTGAATTTTAATTTTGCCTTTTTCTCCTCCCTCTCACCCCCACCAGTACCAGAGATAGTCAGGGAGACCCAGGACTTGATTGAGCGAGGAGAACTTCTGAAAGCCCATCGGAATTTGAGAGACTTGGAATGTTCTCGTGATGACTTGATGTATGAACAGTATCGTATGGACAGCAAGAACACTCATGACATGAATCTCATTCATATCTACTTTGGGGAAATTCAGAAACTCTCTGAGGAGCTAGCAAAACAACTTTGGATGGTAATTGAAAGATCTCTTCTTACTGTTCGCCGAGATCCAACCTTACTTGTTTCAGTTGTCAGGATAATTGAAAGGGAAGAGAAAATTGACAGGCGCATGCTAGACCGTAAGAAACAAACAGGGTTCATTCCCCCTGGCAGACCAAAGAAGTGGAAAGAAAACATGTTTGATATCTTGGAAAGAACTGTGAGCACCAGGATTGAAGGCACTCAAGCTGATACTAGAGAATCTGACAAAATGTGGCTTGTGTGCCATCTGGAAATTATTCGTAAATATGTCCTTGATGACCTGCAAGTCACTAAAAATCTAATGGAAGAGCGTTTTCCTCCACATTATGACATTTTCAAAAAGTTGTTAAACATGTACCACCAGGCTTTGTCCATGCGCATGCAGGAACTGGCTTCAGAAGATCTAGAAGCAAATGAAATTGTTACCCTTTTAACATGGGTTTTAAGTACATACAAAAGGTAAGGTCATCTCATTACAAATGCTTTTTTATTAGAAATAGAAGGCATAAGATGTGTATAAAATACCTTTGAATTTGATTCTTACTGATAAGGGTAAAGGCATTTGGTGAAAATAAGTATATGTTGATAAGTCCATAGCATTTGTGTTGAATCTGTTCCATGGGCATGTGCCATAGGATTGTTATGCTTATTAGGCATCCTGCTTTGGTAAGTGTGTGTCTGTGTGCTAGGGAAAAAAGGTGTCTTTTTAACAATCCAGGTTGCTGTTCATTTGTTGTTTGCTACTGGTTGAGTTGCTCTGTAGCTAAAGACTAACGTTCCTTAGCTTTGAATTTTCTAACTCGGTGTGATCTCTTCCCTTTTTATTTTAGTAAGCTTGATATTTTAATACAATGAAATGTTTCAGTTTACTACTTGTTTATAAATTTGGCGGAGTGTTGTCCAGAATATAAGGGATTGGAAGCTTTCTGTATGTGCACATGACCAAAATATTAGACATTTTGTGAGAGCCCCCAAAAAATAAGTTTGTAATTACTTACTTTTTTCCTTACTCCTTTCAGCAAGGGTTGGGGCTCTTTGAATTCCATTTGGTATGTGATTAACTTTCCACTGAAATATTTCCATTATGGGGATGTCATGGTTTATGTATCTTGAAGAAATTCTACCCAGGTGTTAGCTCATGTAATACTGTGAAATTCAGTTTCTGGTTTTGTTTTCGGTAGTGTGATTTTATTTATTTATTTATTTTTGTTAAGACAATTTACCACATTTTTTAATGTCTATTATTCTTAAAATATAGTGGGGAACAATTTGAAAGACAAATACTGCCTTTCCAGTGTATAGCCTTCAGGGAACACTTAAGATCTGTGCATGCCTAGTGGTATTTAGCCTCATGGCATATGAATCATACTTCTGTTTTCTCAACATTTCTCATTTGATGACATTGACTAAGGCAGGAGTTAACGTTGTGCAGTAGGGAGTCTCTTGATTGTGGTGGCTTCATTCCAAAAGCAGGCCACTTTCAAACCTGCCGGGAGTGGGAGCCAGAGCTGTGGTTACCACTTCTCTCTTCTCTGCCCACCCTGCAGTACCACCACTGCCGCTCAGGGTTTGAATTACACTCCAACTCGGGGGAGGTGTCTGTGGGGGTGGCAGCTAGAAGACAGAATGAGCCACCGCTGCCTTTGCTGCTTAGAAAGGTGTGGGGCGAGCTTGGAGCTCTCATCTCTTATGGGGGAGGAAGCTCTCATCTCTTATGGGGGGGGCTCAGCTCCCTTGAGCCCTCCCCCCTATATTTCGAACTCTACTGCCACCTGAGCAACGTCCCTTGCCGCTTAAATGCTGCAGACATCCCCTTGTTCTGTGGGCTGGATGAAATGACTCTGCACAGCCTGTGGGCCATAGGTTGCCAACCCCTAGAATAAGGCCCTGAGCTATGTATGCTTTTTTTTTTTTCCCGTTACAGCCAGTTGCTCTGTTTCTCTGTCATTTTCTGACTGCCTGAATCTGCCCTAAACCTGCTAGTGATTCAGTAATATCCAAAGTAGAGGCAGGAAATATTAATCATACTACAAATATTTCTGTTGGCAGCTTCAGGTGGAATTTGAGACACACGTCTCTTTGTTTTACAAACAGGCAAACAAAACCCACAATGAGCAGGACGTAAGGGAGACATATGGTTGGGAGATTTAAGGGAGTTAACAGGTTGAATTTAGAGCTAGCTGAGTAACATAGGAAGGCAGCTCTGTGTGTGGGCATGTTTCATACTGTTACAAGTATTTTGGAGGAAAAAACCTATAACTGGTAGAAAATTGTACATCACTGATACAGTTGTTGCCAGCTCTTCCTTTGTATATATTTGTAGGGAAGGCAGGCTGCACAGATGTCTCCCCTGTTGTCCTGGTCTTAAATTACTGGGAATACATTTTGCATAACCCTTTAAAGCAAGGGTGGGCAATTATTTTGGGCAGAGGGCCACTTACTGAGTTTTGGCAAGCCATCGAGGGCCACATGACAGGCAGCCCAGGGCAGATTAATATTAATTTTCTAAATTTTTTAGGGGCCCCTCAGGCTGGATAGAATGGCCTGGCAGGCCATATCTGGCCCCCAGGCTGCATTTTGCCCACCCCTGCTTTGAAGGAAGACAAGCAGAGTGTACTTCCTGTTTTGCTAGTGTCATTCCTCAGGAACCAGGCAGGTCAGCTTAAGGAGTTGGGATGCATCCATGAGTATGAGGACTTTGCCAACAGCATGCACATGGAGAGTTGCAGGATTAAGCAAATTTGGAGAAAAAGGACTGTACCAGGACCAGTGTAACAAGGTGGTCTGGCCCTTTTTAAGAGGGAGCAGGCATCCCTATTGAAAAAAGCCTAGCTATGGATGCTCGGATAATGAGTGTCCCAATAGATCAGTGATTCTCAACCTTTTTTGTACCAGGACCCATTTGTAAACATTGATGGCCAGTCCTGACCCAGTGTCCCTCACTCATGACCCACTGCCCCCACATCCCCAGCCCTTCAGTGTGTGGGGCAGGAGCAGGGGGGGCAAGCAGCCCCTCGCAGGCTGGAACTCTGACA